ATTTTTAATAAAAGTTTTGTTAAAAAAAATTATTGTAAAAATATTATTTTTGTAAATAAAAAAATAAAAAAAATGAAAAAATATTAATTTTTTAAAAATTTTAAATTAAAAAAATCTTATAAAAGTACTGATTCGATACTTTTAAAATTTACAATAAAAAAATTAATTTATGAAAAATTATAATACTTTTTACAAATTATAATATTTATTTGATGCAGTTGAAGTTTGTAAAGAATAAAAAGACTTTCTATCTACTCTACCAAACATGCTCAAAAGTAAATATGACCCAATACAAATTATGATACAGAGACAGGATAGCTTATCAAGCTGGCAAAAAGAAACAAAATCCACCACTTGACCTATCATCTGCCAACCTGCTGACTTTGAGACATAGGGCAACTCGACAGATCCCTCACATGCCTTTTATTATTATTATTACTATTAAAATTTAAATAATTCTAAATTCATGTGAGGTTTTAACGTTTTACAGTTCCCGGTAATTTTTGTCAATTTAGGCTGAAAACACCTTTTCCAAATTCCAGCACATAGTTCTAAATAATTTATGGTTAGATCCTTAAGTTAGGAAAATTATAAATCAGGACACATGTAATTGTCAGTTCGGTAGTGTTCGCTGTCTAATAGTGTTAAATGTCAATTTTAATCTCTTAATTTTAAAATTTTATATGGTTTTTATCTTTTAATTTTTTATATATTTTTTGATTCCTTAATTATAAGATGGAAATATAAACTTTTTTAGTTTTTTTATTAATTAATTCATTAAATTTATTTAAATAAGTATATTTTTAATCTTTTAACTTATAATATATACGTATATATTTCATCAATCAACTTATGATATATGCACATATTTTGTCTCTTAATTTTAAGTTAAATGACTAAATATATATATACAAATTTAATAGATTAACTGATAAAAAGATTAAAAAATATATTTTTTATAATCAAAAGACTAAAAATATGTATAAAAAATTTGAAAGATAAAAATTATATAAAACCTTAAAACTAATGAACCAAAATTCACATTTAACTTCTTAAAATATACCCAGAAATCTCCAAACCTTTTAGAAGAGCATCAGATTATAGCCCTAGACAGATTCAATCTTTGTGTTTGAAAATGGGCAATGTTTATTTATTTAGTCAAAGATGACACAAATTAAAGTTTGTGACTTATGTGAGTTTGTGAGAATATGCTCCTTAGATCCCGAAACTGAACTGAAACTTGTCCATGATTCATGGAAGAAAACAAAAACACATATATGCATTGATATCACTAACTTGAAGTATAAGTTAAATAATTGATTATTTCATTGTTGAGATTCCAGAAACACGTCACAAGTTTGACCAATTAATTGAGCTCCAAAACTTAAGAAGCATTGCTACCAAATTTCATGGAAAAAATTCATGTGAGAGGTAACGTGCTTAAGAGTGGACTGCTGCAAATTTTTTTGGAAAAACTCATGAGAAAGGTGAGGTGCCTAAATTTTCCATTCATATTGTGTTTGGTTTATAGGCCATAGAAATAAAGAAAAGAAATTTTGTATTTTAACACATATTGGAAATGAAAGAGTCTTTTACTGTCAAGCCAGTAAAAAAATTATTGATCCAGATTGTAAAAAAAAAAAAAAAAAAAAATACTAATGATGTTTTTTTTTTCTCAAGCTGATAATTATTTTATGGTTCAAATTGAAAAACATTAATCTTAATTAGAAAATTAATTAAAATATTTTTATATCTTATTTTGTTTATACAATATTTTCTTACTAGAAGTCTAAAGAACATTACTTATCAATATTTTCTATGTTCCATCAAAACAAGATCAATATTTTTAATATTTTTTATTTCTATTTTTCAAAATCTTCTTTTTCTTTTTCTTGAACCAAAACTAGAATAATCTTTGACAAAAACTGGAGATGACTCATTATCAAAATTAGGTGATTAGCAAGCAAAAAGCCAAGTTGGGGCTCCACATGTTCCAATTTATTAGTAATATATGATGAGGATTGGTAGGCCAAGAGAAATCAAGTGCTGTGCTATGATGATATGAAGTCATTGGTGACACAACTGACAAGTGAGCATGCTCGAGCCTCTCATCCACAAATTTTATAATTTTTATCATATATTCTACATTGGAAAATGTTGAAGAAGAGCTAACATAGCATCATCACATGCGTGATGGGTACTTGGAGTAGGGACTCATTTTTTTGCAGTTGCCACATGGGGGGCTGACCTTGTACCTCTCCTGACACTTTTCAAATATTGTTCTTATCAACTATTAATTTCAAGAGGTAAAATTTCAACGATTGATCTTTGAATATTTAATTTCATAGAATAAAATTTTGTTGATTTCTGCCTAAATAAATTACAGTAGGTTATTAAAAGACAGAGAAGTGTCAAGGGCAAATTTTTCTAGGGTGTAATAAATTTTAAAAAATAAATTCTTGAGAAACCAAGTAATTAAAGGAAAATGATTTTAATATAAAATTTGTATTATTTTTTTATATAATTTAATATATTATTTAAATAATTAATTTTTTAAATTTATATAAAATTTATAATGTTAAATATATTTATTCATTTAATAAAATATAAAAATTATATAAAAAAATTACTCTTGTAAAATCGCCATGATTAATAACCACCAAGGTTTTGAAAATCTTTTGCGGGCCAGCCTAGCTATCCCCATTTTTCCGGCGGTCACCATCGTCTGTCCTTGATTGCATGTCACAACGAAATAAAAGACAAAATCACAGCGACTCCCTCCAAGTAAAATTATTGCAGTATTATTTTTTTATTTTAAATATGTTTGAATTAATTTTTATTTTTTTATTTTTTAAAGTAAGTAAATATTTTTTATTATTTTTAATCCTATCAAATTTATTTATATATTTTAATTAATTATTTTATTAAAGTCTATATTTAT